TGTCCACTGTTTTTCTAGTCAACGTCATGTTAGATTGGATTCTCGCAACAAATGTCGTTATGTGAGGATAACGGTATCGATATGCTTACTGGTGTCATCGTAGGAGATGACATCGTACTGTTAAGTGAATATTCAGATGAGCTGCAAGCTTTGTTAGGTGGTTTGTGCTAGTGTAGTTAAGTTTGACATGCATTTGGCACCTTCAAGATGTAGTGTTGTTACAGGACTTGGTTGATTCAACTTCCGATCTCGATCAAACTAGGAAACCAATAAAATGGACAAACTCTGATATTTGGGCAGCTATCTCACTTGGTGGACGCAGCACGGATGCAGTTTCGGTAGGCATACCGAAGGCTCGGTTGGCATTTGCAAACTTGAGGCATCTGTGGCGTGGTAACGACATCCAGCTGGCTGTGAAGGGTGTATGCTGCAGCGGTTCGACAGAGTTGGCCGTTACAGGAACATGAAAACGATTAACTATCGGTGTCCGAATACCCCTATTTACGCCACATCGCGAGTCTGATATGGCAACCGAATAAGCTATGCTGAGGTTAGGCCAACAGCTTAGATTAATCACGGTCCTTCAAGGAATGTGGTTGACCTACATATATGATGTTGGTTACAGTATGTTATGCACATCACCGGGCGGTGGTGGCCCGGTGGTAACGTCACCAAATTATCACCCTGTGGATGAGTTCGAATCCCACAACCACTGCCTAATTTCCCCCATTATGTGTTGAATGGCAGCCGTTTGATTGGCCGCTTCCCCGTTCCTGAAAATTGCATCTTTGTATATTCAATAAAAGGAAGTAAAAATGAAAGATAGACTTCCACGGGGGGACGTTCGTCGAAGTAGGTCGAAACTATCACCATCATCGTACAGCGAAATACAGTAAAGTGAACTTCACTGATCTCTGCCGAACTCGCAATCCATACCAGGTTAGTGGTCAAATTAAAGGTGGACAGAGATTGGATTTATTTTGAGGGAGGTGAACCTTTATGGTCAAGACAGTCAATTATGGCCAAGCTAAGATCTGCTCTGAAGGATGAAAACTCTGACGCGGAAACTCAGTCATGTAGGTCGCGTGAGTCTTCTTATATCAGTTTTTACAACCATTAATCCTACACTTTCGTGAGCCGGTTTTGGTCACCTATTTGGATAAAAGAGCCGAATCAAGATTGGAATGTTGAGAGTGAATTCAAGGGATAGAGAATTCATATAGGCTGGGAATGCGATGATGAGTGCATCTGCACGAGCACCATTGTTTGCGACACAGCCATATCACTCAGCGTCCCTAACCACCGATGAACGTGATCTCGGGGTCCCCATTCAGAGCGCATTTGGTGGTTGTATCAGTTTTGGTCCTTTTGTTTATTACACAACTTGGTGTGATGAACAGCATGGGCGTAAACTCCATGGTCACGTAGACTCGCTTCTCAGTCACAGAAACCGGTAATCTAAGCCCCGGGACTTGGTATGGCGAACCACAAGGCCCCTCTAGTTTAAGCGTTGTATTGAGCCAGACGTCAACAAAGCCACCTACCAAATCTGAAATAAACGTTCATAGTATTTCGTATACGGCAATGAAACGCCCTCACGAACAGCTTAAGCCAATTCTTCATACGATAAAATTTTGGTGATCGAGTGCAAAGTTTAGTGTAACTCACAACGGAGTGTGGAACATCAGCATAACCTGAAAGAGTGAGGTCCGGTACGTGTCAGGAATAAGTTTGACGCTGTCCAGCAAATTTTGCTTCGTCAGGAAGGTAGAAATAGTAGAAATAACCCAACGGTGGTGAAAGTGACCGATTAAAGTAAAGATCAGGTTATACAAGATTCGATTCTTCTTCCTTTTTTATCTCATTCTAACTTGTTTTTATCGAATACATAATGTTTAATTTTCAGGTGGGAAGCAGTCAACTAAACGCCTACCATACAGCACACAATTGGGGAAAGTCATGACTTTCCCCAATTGTTACCACCGTCTGCAGACAGTGGTAACAGAATGTGTTAAGAATCGAGGGAAAAACACGCGGACACCGACAAATTAATGACAAATATGAACTACTTAAAGCTTTAAACGTGGTAAATTTCATCCAAAACCACCGTGTGCAAATGAGTGGTGAATAGAATGTCAGTCGTACGCACATAAGAGCACTTCACGGAAGACTGTCAAGCCTACCTTCGCGGGTGAAGCATAAAACTTTTCGGCATCAACCGTTGTCCGGAGTCTTCAGTACCAATTTCCAACTGAGCCAGGGATACGGTAACGACACCCAAAAAGTCATCACGTGTCTAAATGGAATATTTCGGACTAGAGATCTGACACTTACAATACGGTTTTCATCGTATAGCTCAAACTGTAGACGGTTTTCTTGAGGATTAACCTAAGTACGGTTAAAAAGTGGTGAAAACCACTCACTCGGAAGATTACTTCCTCATTCCAAACAGGGTTTAAAGAGCGCTTGATGGTGCGTGTCTGAACTGGAGGACATACGCACGAGGTTGACCGGCTGCCTCTGTACAACAGTATTTTGCAATACGGATCACTATTCACTATACGTTATTTTCAAGTAACCCACCTTGCACCAAATATATCTTTTTTCATCAAATCCAGAGCCCTAATCACACGAACCTTCAAGAGACGCGTATTCTCGTTGCACTAATAATAAGACCTTCGATGAGCCAAAAATTATACCGACCTTCGACAGTGGAATTCCATGCACCTCATAATGTCTATTCACCTGGGTTCGAGTGAGCGCCTGATGCACCATCGGCGTAATTTCTTCATAAAGCAAATCTTTTCGAAAAGCCACGCATTGCACTGACCGGTAAAACAATATTATTCCCTTAAGGTCAGCTCAGTTCAATTCAGTTCACTTTGCACATGACAGAAAATGGCCACGGCCAATCAATCGTTCAAAGTTCTCTCGGTAGTATCCACAGGTCCGGCACCCATCAGCATTATCAGGACAGGACAGAACAGGACAGGACAGTTCACAGGACTTGCGGCTTGAGCCAGTAAAGTAGTCCAGATTCTTGCGTTTACAGGCCACGGGTGTCCCGTAACGCTACGACAGTGGGTT